TCCCCGAGCCCCGACACTGCGGTCTTTGCCGTTTGCATCAACGCGTTGTTAGGAACCCGGGATCGCTGCCCATCTAAACTCGTCTAAGTAGAAGACCTCCGCGTACGCTTCTGAATCCGCTTTTGTTCCTGCCTCTTATCGCAGGCGGGCTACGGCCAAGTCCCCTCCGCTTGCTCGGTGTGCTCTGGCAGCTCCGACGAGCTGGGTGTTCGGATCATCACTCACAGCTGAAACATCTAAGATTAGGAGAAAGCAGAGCAGCCCGGTTTCCAGGCCAGAACACGCAGCGTCACTCTGCAAGTTGTACCAATGCGGTTCTGAAACCTTAACTTGCCAAAAGGGACGGCACTTCAGGCTGGCATTCCGCAAGTATCAGCTTTCCGGCATCGCTGATGTCCAGCAGCCCCACAGAGAAAGGCGAGGCCAGCAGCCCTGACAGGATTCTTTGGAGTCATATTTCTTCTGCATTGTAAAGCACTACATGTCACCAGGAATTCCTTATCTGCTATCTTGGGCAGTTAAACCAAGCCCCTCTAAAATTAAACCCTATACTTCCTCAGTATCAGGTCTGTGCAACAAAATCTACTTACAAGTTTTCTGGTTTGCTGTTGCTGGTGAGACAGGCAGGTGACTTCAACAGATGCTAGATATTGTACATTCCCACAGCGTTTCTAATTCAGAAGTGGTTCTTCCTTGCTAGGGGTGGGCTGTTTGTGCAGCATGCGTCTCACAGGAGCTCAGATAAAGAAGGCAAACACAGCTCTTCAGGAAGGTGTTGGACTTTGGAAGGAGGCATCGAAAGAGCCTGTTTTATTGACTGCAAATACGAAACTGCATTCCCATGTTGTACTGAATGCCTGATTGTAGGTATCGTTAATAATTAACATGCATCTGCATAGACTAGTCTTCAAGTGACTCTCGCAATCTAAAAACCCCAAATAGCAAAATGGAGGAAAAAAAAACCAAACCAGACTCAATTCAGTAACACAATATTGCACTCAGGTAGAACCCAGGCAAGATGAGTGGAAATTCAGTCTTACTTCCAGGTATGTGTCAAGATTATTTGGTTTACACTGTGCTGGGTGTCTGTTTCTTTAATGAATGTTTAAAAAATGCATCTGTTACTTCTCCAAATGTTCTTGTTTTTCTGAGGATACTTTTGTAATAGTGGCCTTATGAGGCTTGGTAAATGGCTATAAAATGCTGTGAGGAGGAGGAAGACTTCAAATATTTACTGTATTTATTTTTTTTTTTCAGTAGAACAGGTAAGAACATTGATGGCTAGCAGAAGAGCCTACATCTCAAAACTAACAATGCCTACAAAATTACTCATTGTGATACTCACTACATAGGACAATTACCACACCACAAACACATTTTAAAACAATGCAGCAAATTGGAGAGGGCTGCAACAACATTATACAACTTGTTTTAAACATCTGTTGTATCCTTGTTAAACATTCCATTGTATCCTTATCTCAACATGTCTGCCTTTTCTCACCTGAACTCCAAAAAAGTTTGTAATTAGTAACTGTTTAAAAATCTTTCTTATCTACTCACAGCTCTCCTTATTCTAATTCCAGTAAAACAGCCTTTGCTGGCTATCTCCTTTGGTAGAGGTCAGGAATCCTGGAATCTTGTCTTTGTTCTATGACTGCCAGCAGTACAATTTACATAAGACAGTTCGGGACAGAGGAGGGTGTAATGCTGAACAACTTTTTCTTATCTGTAAACAGGAGTTAAAAATAAATAAATCTCAATAGTAAAACGGACTGGAACATGTTTAATTGGTTACAAGTACGAATAGTGGTGTGTAGTTAATTTAAAATACCATCCCCAAAGGGGCCACAACATGATGCAGCTTGCCCCTCTTCTTTCCTGTGCCCTGCCAATTACATCAGCCATTGGGCAAAGTTAATCTCCTTCTGATAGCCTTTGCTTCTGCCCCTCCCATGCTTCCTTTTCTATTTTGAATGATCTTCCAGGTATTTTGGCAAGCCTCTGCCTTCCTTCCCAGGACTCCCACACATTCCACAGCTGGTTAGCACAATCACAGAATTCAACTATTAACCACAAACGAAAAGTGATTAAACACAAATCTTCCTGCGAATCCCCCTTCCCTTACTCAGCTACCACCTCTTCAGGACATGTCTTCAACCCATTTAATGAAATTGCTGAAAGACTTTGGGAATGTTAAGGAAACAAGACCGAACGATGTTATCACATGGAAGTCTTGCAGGGAAAAGGCAGCAGTTCCTCAGAATTATCACAAGTGGCAAGGAAAATGAACTAGCAAAAACCAGGCGAACATCTAGATATGTAACTCCTGTCAAATGCAGTATCTTGTTACCAATACAGACCGTGAGCAGTTGTAAGCTTAACTCCACTATGTGAACTGAGACTTCCAAAATAATTTTAGCAAGCTAGACATGGTGGGACTTCCGCACTGTAGGCAGAAGCAGGACAATAGTCTTCACCTGCAGAAAGTGATTAGCTATTAGTGAAAACTAATATACATTAAAAACCCAACACACCACACTTTCTACAGAGTCAGAGTATCCTGCACAACTACTTCTGCCAATACTTGTCTTTTGAAGGTACTCTGTATACTTTCCTTCTCTGGAGATGGAGCAACTGTCTTAGACTGTCAGTAACACAATGCTTCTTACTGGTACTGACTGCTCATAGTGTCTATCAGAGGGTTTCCTTTAGCTACTTACTTTGGGAGAGTTGAAGGAAGAAACTATTGACATGTCAGGTGTGTGACCATGGAGCAATCTGCCTGGTCACATAAGTTATGGAAGTAAAAACAGTAGAGAAGTTACTTGTCTTTGGGCAATATGCAAAGTCTGGCATTGGTTTCAGAGCTCACCCTGTGCCTCCACTGTCCAAGCATAATGGCTGACAACAGAGTCCTTGCCCTTGCTTACAATTTGCTCCAAGTATTAGAGAAAAAAAAATGAGTCACATCCTATGATTCATTTCATACACTGACATGAAACTCATTCTAACTTGCTGACAGTATTTATCTTCCTGAGATTAAATCCATTTGTTACTCAGCTACGTAAAACCAGGAAATCGTTTGCATAAATAGCAGTAGCTGTATGGATGAAGTGCAAATGTGGAAGCTGAAGTGCTCTTATAAAATCTACCCTGACTGGTCAAATCTTGAACAGAAGCTTTCCAGTGTTTTAAGACACACAAATAATTCAAACCAATATGCATGCTGTGGTCCTTAGCTTCATCTTCATAGCCTGCAATCACATTTGTACATAATGAATTAAGAATCATTAACACCTATACAAACATGTTTAAATACCTGTTTGACCTATTAGGAGATTGAGATAATAACTATAATTTTCCATATGCTGTAAATTGTTTTCACTGTTTTAAATACAAAACAGTAAGAAGGTGTGCTATTTTTAGCTTTCCTTAGTTAAAAAAAAAAAAAGCATCTTTTACTCTTGTACTCATAGGAGTTGTATTTACCTCATCCAGTAGAGATGGAATTTCAGGTAATTGTACTTTTTATTTTGATTGAAAAACATATGAACACTGTGGACAATTAACCAAGAGCTCCTTCTAGTGAATTGTTACTCTCCATTTAACGGTGGGAAATGGCAGGTAACAATGCTCATACTTTAATCCAAATACTGGGCAACTATATAGTTATTGCTTTTTATTGACAAAATCAATCATATCTGTAATAATTCTAGCTAGCCAGACAGTCATGCCAAACTAACAACAAGCATCAGAGGAACCAAGAAGAAAAGTAGTTTTGCACTGAACATCTTTTCATATACCGATAAAAGATTTCTAAGAGTATGGTGTAGCTGTTTCCTAAATAATTAGGCAACAATTCTGTGCTTTCCTTTTATTGGCAATTAAAGAACACCAGTGGTAATACTACAACAGTGCAAGTAATGAAGTGTTCCTCTCCCAGTTCATGACTTATTTTAAAGTTTTTTTGGTTTAAGATCTAGTGTATAATTTCATTCTCATTTTTCAACAGCCAGAAAAACACAGCTTTATAAGCATAAATACCACACTAAATTCTAAGAAGCAAAAAGGCAAGTTTCTGCATCAGCATAGTACTAAGGGGAGCCTTGTTGTATCATGCTGAAAAGAGACATCATCAGCCCACTTACTTAAGAAATGCAGAACAAACCTGGAGCAAATTTTTGCTACCATGAAAGGATCTTAATTTTGCTCAGCTAAAAAATGAAAAGATTGATAAATTATGTATTTTCACTCTTTGAAGAACAAAAGGAAACAGAGAGAGAAAGCCACAATAACAGAGTCAAGTGTTGGTAGAGATACTGCACAGCTCAGACATCACATACTAGCACTGTAGTTTCCTATGATGTTTATGATCACTGAGACCTCTAAGTAATTTAGAGTTTACCTCAAAATATCCTAATGTGAAAAAAATCTGTAATTTAGAATTTGGAGTAAAGAGCAAGTTTTGCAATACATGCAGAGAGAAAAACTTCTTATATTGCATTATACAAAAATAAAATTTTCTACCTGCCACAGTAATTTGGTTAATAACGTATTTGATTCTGTTTTGATGCCACAGTTTTTAGCGCAATGTATTTGCAGCACCACAACTTATGTCAATGTGATTCACACACATTCTTTCTTTGGGTGAATGTCTCCCCACAAGAAGCTTAGCACTCCTGCACTCATCAGAAGTCACCAGGTCAGTCAGTCCTCACCTTGGAACAAGACTGCAGGCAGAATTCACGACACTGCTGCAGTAACAAAGTGAGAAATCCAGCGACAGGAAAGGAGACATCAACCACCTGTTCTGCATGGACACACAGTCAAGCAGTGACAAAGAAATCCCAAGACTGTGCACAAGAGAAAAATATATTGTTTTCTTTTTTGTTGCACAACATAGTGATGTCAAGAACAGCAACAGAAGTACGATCGGGTACTCCAGAAACCAAGGAAGGGTTTGGCTTGTGGTTAAAGTCTTCAAACTTCCACGACTATAATCATGTATCTTCTTTTCCAGAATATATTAAAGAGGACAAATCCAATTTAGTTTTTAATGCTGTTGAAAATTCTTTTGATAGTAGTTCATGAAGGGATACTCTGTCATGAGAGTACACCCAGTTCCGTCCAGTCCAGTCATAGCGCTTGGGCCCACTAGGAAAAAAATACACATTGTAAGCACAGATTATTCAGGGGGAGATGCTGGAAGCCTGTGTTTATAATGCACCACAGAGAGTGCTCAAGAAAAGGAAACGGACAGCCTGGAGAAGGACTGATGGGAAGTCTGGGGAAGTGAAGCAGAAAAGGCCAGGTTTGCCAGACACTGCTGAGCCATCTAACAGATGTATCTGAAAGGTGACAAGATACATCAGTCATTCCCAGTGACAAAAGCTCCTTCCCTTCTTGTTTTGGCATTGATTTCTCCAGTTTCTTCCCTTACTACCTTCTTGCCTCACTCATGTAACTTTCTTGTACGCAAGTATTACAAGGGATGTCTGTGTAACACCAAACTAATTCTATTGATCAGCCTTGCAGCAGTCACATGCAGGTACTCTAAGCATAGCAGAACACTGATCACCATTTTCACCTTCTTTCTAGATGCCACAAAATAATGTACCAGCTGAAAGCAAATACATTGGCAGGTGGGAGCTTTGTATTTAAAATGCTATTTTCCTCTGTGCTATCATATAGTTGTTGGCTTGATTTTTCAGGCCTAAATAAGCATCAAGAAAGAAACTTGAACACCTTGGTTCCATTCCAGACCTTTCTACCCACTCAATTCTCCACACGTGAAACAGGAGGATGACTGAAAGGTGATCACTACTGTCAACCTCATCTGGAGAGACTAAAAAAAGAGAAAGGAATGAAATGGTTGTCTGGGGCAAACACACAAACCATCAGTCTTACTTGTGAACTCACAGGACAAAATATCTTGGAACCTGGACAATCCATGCACAAAGTTTGCTAGAAAACAGACTATCCTGTATATATACAGAACAATCTGCAGGTTCTCTACAAACATAAACACTTATCTGAACTTGGAATATCCTGAATAACTTGCAACATTCAAATGAGTAACTTTAACCACTAACCAAATTAGGAGAACATAAAAATGAAAACACAAATCAAAGTCACTTCCATTGAAATCTCACTTGCTGTATGTGAACTGGTAACTGTTTGGAATTGAGATTATGTGCTCCAGTTAGTTTCCTGTGCATTTTTTATTTCTTTGTCTTTGCAGTGCAAGCGTATGTTTATACTGCCCTGCAACTAGAGAATGGCAGAATGAGATGCAGCCATTCATGAAAATCAGGCTAAGATTTAAGGCCATTTAATCAACAATGAGAAAGAAATGTGCAAGTTATTTGAACTCCTTTCAAATGTTATGTAGTAACTATCAGTAATACAGTTAGAATATGAAACACTTCCATAGTTCTCTGCATTTCCAAAATGCTGTACAAATGTGATTTTTTAAAATTCCCATTAATAATTTAAGCGAGGATCTTGTGAATTCTATAAAATGTCTGCCAAATTAAATATAGACTAATATTTTTCCCATGGAACGGCTTAATAAATTTTTAAACAGAATAATTAAAATATCAAATTAAGGTATTATTGAAAGATGCTGTGTAAGGTTGAAAAGTTTTTTCAGTCAAAGGAGCTACACAGAACTGCTGCAATCACAATGCTGGCAGGTTGCAGCTATCCCTTCTTTCTCTTTTTTAGAAATGTTGACTAAGCAAGGGTTTACAAGCATAAGCTCAAGTGCACTTCAGTGTAACGATGCACTATAGCAAAGATGAGGTTAAAAAAATTCAATACATTTTCTCTCCCTCACATCTTAATAATTTATCTCTCTTGGGATATGTTCTTAAAAACTTTACATTGAATGTACAAATTTCCCAAATATAACATTCAATGCAAGTGATCACTGGCAGTAACATTTGCTTCTTTCACTTCCTAGTATAACACACTTAAGAAGTATGTCACTCCTGATCGTGCAGAGTTGCTTTTCAGAAGTTAGGAAGTAAGTGAACACGTAGCATCATATTTCAGGAAATACCACTGTTTACCATAATACCAGTTAAGGAAGCATGGAACTTAATGTTTGTAGGTGAATAATTTTTAATAAAAAATTATGAAAAATACCATTAAAGAATTTTAAAGCTTATCTTTTTCGTTGTGTATTGTTATTGACTAATGGAACAATCAAAACCAAAACAAAACAGTTTTACATTTTTTCATTAATTCCATGTTCTGGAGCACGTGTTTATTAGCTCAACTGCAGTTGGCTACAAACTGGATAGAAGTTCTCTGAGTTTTGGTTTTCATAAATACATGAAACCTTTGTGTCAGTGACAAAAAAACCTGGCTGACACATTAAGCAGAATCAAGGTTCTGAAATCATGCTTGTTACAAAAATACAGGGAACTGATAAAATCTGACACACAGCCTGCATTAGTCTAAAGAAAAAGGTTTGCTAGCTTTCTAGGCCTGTACCTTAGCAAGTCATGTTAAGTCAGCCATGTAATTAATAACAGGATTCTGGGACAGGAGCTAGTAAAAAAAAGTACTAACTTGGTTTGCTGTGCACCAGTCAATACATAAGTACACTAAAGCAAAGTTAGAATGGTTTTTTTGTAAGTTTTATGCCTATTATAATTGCTCCTCTCAAAATATTAAATTCCATTGCACTTTTTTTCTTCCCCAACACAAACACTTCTCCAGAATTCTCCTACTGCAAAGCCATTCCAGGTTTTGCAATCAATATATTTTTTCTGAACAACGTCCAAGAGGTACGCCTTCATAGCTACTGGGAGTGCTCATACTTTCCAGATAGCTGATTCATTCACCAGTAACACTGACGAACTCCCTCAGTTCTTTCCCCGGGACACTGGCACAGAATACAGATGTTTGCAGGAGGCAGCTACAGCCTTTTCACACATATCTCGCTGCCCTCCCTGCTGAAAGCAAAAAGAAAACCTGGAATGGATCAAACTGCTGCATTAGAGAAGGCAGAGGGAACAGCTAGCCAAAGCTCCTGTAAAGTGCAGATGCTTGACAAAAACAATGAGCACATAAACATATAAAGCAGGAAATCCCACAAGCTTAAAGGGGAAGGAGACACCCTGTTCAAATACAAAGAAAGGTTTAGATCATAACATCATCACTCTTTCTTCCAACAGAAGCTTTGGTTGATTTTTTTTTTTTTTTCTAATCATGGATGTTTGTTTTTCCTATGAGTAGGCCATATTCCTGTAGACAGTGGCTTTGGACTGGAACAGGGTATGAAAATTTTGTATTACACACTTCCAGGATTTATTTAGATATGTCAATATGCTGCACTTGAACCTCTGTAACAAATTATTATTGAACATCTACATTATATCATGTTTTGAGAACACACTACGGAAAAAGGTCAGTTATTAAGAGGTTATTACATAGTTTGTTCTGTGCTGTAAAAAAGGGAAGTACATTTCCACCCAGTCTGCAGACATTATGTAACTTACTTACATGTAACTTACCTAGTGGGTGAGGACAGCCAAATCTGCCGGTTTGGTGTTTGCTTATTGATTACATACGTTCCCATGTCTCCACCTAATTTAACTGTTAAAACTCCATTCTTAAAACACAAAGAAAAAAAGTGAGAAATTAAAAATGTGCATCCTGTTACTTGACAGGAATTATATCATCTGCAGTAGATAAACAGAAACTTACACATCTCTATCACATCCCCAACTATATCCCCAAAAATAGCTTGGAAGAATGACTGTTAGTTACAAAAAACTTGTGTTAATGCCCACAACAATCTGCATATCTCTGAGTCTGTCTGAAGTAGACTTTAAACTTTCTAGTTAAGAGTTTGATTTAGTGTGTTTGCACCATTCATGATGGCACTATTTAAATGATACTCTTGAACTTTGACCTGCCATCTTGAAAGGACAGATAGTTCATTTTGCATATTTTAAAACATCATCCAATGACATCCTACTCTATTCACAAACAATGCAGAGCTGGTATGGTTCAAAGTCTAGAAGCTTTGTGTGTCACTGGTAGATTTCTAAGCTATGTAATATTACCCATCTTAAGTACCTGCAACAGTTTCCCAGTGAATAAACACAATTATTTCTCCAGTAATTCCAGATGAAGTGCCTTGGTCCTGAATCATGCCTAAAAAACTGTTCGACATCTAAATTCCATGAGGTCTAGTTTGTTTTAGTTATGCCAGCTTTAGACTATTAACTTAAGGAGCATTTATTCTGTCTTCTTAAGTCTTATTTCTTCTGGACAACATGATTTAAATTTCTCTGACATTTCCATGACTGCATTTGAGAAGCAACTCTGACAAAAACACTTCAGTCCTAACTTTGAGTAAAAGAACAACAGTGCTTGGACTAGAGTTCACCTACAGATGATCTGAATTATGCTAATCAAAAAGAGTATCTCTACAGAATACAGTTTGATGATTCAGGTAATAAGTTAGACCTATTTGATCCAGTTTCTTAAATGCTTTGTGCCCTATGGGATGATAAAGCTATCAAAGCATGTTGGGGTGATTAGGCCTGAATAGCGATATAAAGGTTTCACTATTCTTCTACGTGCTCTCTAGCACCATATTAAGTATGCAACAGGAACACTGTAATAAACAGGTTCCCAAAAGGCTAACAAAAATTTTATACTACTGCTTACATTACTTGTCAGCTGTTGGGCAACGTTGTTGCTCTGCCATTGCAAATTGAAGAAAAGGTTGATTTCTAATCCTGTGTTTAAAACACTTAACCATAGATTTTACAATATTTTCTAAATACTAGGATATACAACCTGAGTTTTTAAGAACTTAAAATGCAAAATATTTTTACCATATTTCAAGGAATATGACTATACATATTTCATACTACTGGATGAATGTTTCTTAGCTTCTAGTAACAAGAATATTCTTGAAAAGATTTTTTTTCCCCTTATATCACGAAGATAAAAATTGCATGAAAAAATCAAGGTCATAACAATTCATTGGCATAACAAACCTTTATCACATTCGCCACCTTGTGGCTTCTTATAACATTAGCCTTGTTTGTTTGGAATAAACTTCAGTAAACTTGGCACTATTTAACCTTTTGCATATCCTATTATGTCATTATAAAGTCTATGCAACAAAGCAGTAACTGGTAAAAATTAAGATGATGTAAAAATTATTCACTTTGAGCCTCTGAATGAATCAACGTCAAACACAATCCACTTTGCAGGGGCTGGAGATAAAATTCTGACATAAAAGGACTCATCAACCTTCACGAAATGTAGTGTCTAGAATACTAAAGAGGCAAATCATTACCTTTTCACTAATTTTGTTCTAAGCTCTTTAAATTAGGCTAATAGGTGCTGACATATTAAAACATACCAAAGAGTAATGGCTAAAAAAATTCTTCCCTTTTCACCAGAAAAGCAATTAGCTATAACATTAATTACACAATTAAAGGAACAAATATTATTTGCTAAAGGCAACAACAGAACCCTACTAACATCATGTTATCTTCTATCCTAGCTATAAGAAATAAAGAGCAAACGTTATGATTACAAAGTTACACATGAACAAGTTTGAAAACTTCAGGGTTCTGGGTTGTTTTTTGGTTTTTTTTTTGCACAGTGCAACCCAACCCATCTGCATCCATGTCTCTGAGCACAAAATCTTAACTGAAAGGGCAAGCAGAAAGTAACCTCCTTGCCATAAAACGTGAAGAGGCTGCAGCAGTTACGTGGCCTCAAACAAATGCAGTACTGAAAGACCTGTGTTGCAGATGGCAGTGTGGGGGGGAAACTGCATTCTCCTCCTTGTTGCAGCCTATAGACAAACCACTTCAGCAATTGCATATAAAACTAATAAAAGCCCTATACAAACAGAATGGATGTTTTTAAGCTGTGTCTGTCACTCCTGAAAAATAATCTGAGTGGCTGACCTCATAAAGGCTCCAATTATCAGGCTAGCAGCCACCCAGCGTCTCCTGTGACAGCAGCCTTCTGCCCATGTATGCTCTGGTCTCCCTTTTGCAACCACCTATTCAAACATTGCATCCTCCTGTTGCTTCTCTTCACCACAGGCTGAGTCATCAGTAAAGCCAGGACAAACATACTCTACCTGGTAAAGAAAAATGCTGCTTCTCAGTACTCAGGGCAATCAAAGAAACTGCTCTACCAAGTTACACGTGATACGTGTGGACTGCGCCATGCAGGTCTGCTCTAGTGTCCACTGTGGGGGAAGTGACTGCTAATGTGAGAGGTCTATGCACATTAAGAAAAATTCACAGACCACTTTGAAATTTTAAATCACTTTCTGTCTCCTCTTGTGGTTATTTATTATTCTATATTATGTCCTTCTGTATAAAGTAACATTCTAAATCCTCAAATCATATAACTGCATGTCTTACTTTTTAACAGAACAGTTTCTCTAATCACGTTTTATGTGTCTGCGCTAGGGAGGCTAATTTTAAATTATCTTTCAAAGAAAAAAAATAATCTACAAAAATTATCTACAACAATCACAGTGGTAAAAGAATGTTTGAAACATACCCCTAAAGAGACATCATAATCTTCTGGGGTAAAAGGCTTATCTGTAAGGTCCTCAAAGAAATCTGCTAAAGAGTCCAGTGTTTCTTCAGCCAGTTTTTCGTAAGTGGTCTCATCTAAACAGCTACCAATGACATACAAACCCAAAATGAGGAGGAAAAGCAGGGAAGACAGCTACAATAAAAGGAGCATCAAGAGCATGACTTAGGACAAAACATTAACCATGAAATGATTATATTAAAAAAAAACAACAAGAAGTAGTAATTTTTCTTAAGGTAATGCAGGTGACAATCCACCTCACAGGTGGCAGTGGAATTTTGAATTTTTGGTAGTACAGATCTGTAACTAATGAGTATGTACTTCTTTCCTTAGATATACTTACCCTTGTGTACTCAGTGGGCAAGAGTCAGACTTCAAAATAGGCCATTTTCATAAAAGGACTTTTTGCAAGATTAGCTTGGACTCTACAAATAGATACAAGTATCTCCTGTTTAGATGCATTTACCTCAAGACTCCAAGGAGACCACACAGTGGCCATCCAGTACCTGAAGGGGGTCTACAGGAAAGCTGGGGAGGGACTTTTTATAAGGCACGGAGTGAGAGAACAAGGGGAAATGGTTTTAAACTGGAAGAAGGGAGATTTAGAGATTAGGCAGAAATTAGTTGATGTGAGGATAGTGAGACACTGGAAGAGGTTGCCCAAAGAGGTGGTGGATTCCTCATCCCTGGAAGTGTTCAAGGCCAGGCTGGATGGGGCTCTGAGCAATCTGGTCTAATGGGAGGTGTCCCTGCCCATGTAGGGAGGTTGGAACTAGATGAGATTAAGGTCCCTTCTAACCCAAAACATTCTATGACACTATTTGTCATTTGACTCTTAAACTCGCTGTGGCTATAAGCAGTTTAGAAACATCGACATGACAGAGCACTGGAACAGGCTGCCCAGAGAGGTTGTGGAGTCTCCTTCACTGGAGACATTCAAAACCTGCCTGGACAAGTTCCTGTGTGATGTACTCTAGGTGACCCTGCTCTGGCAGGGGGCTTGGACTGGATGATCTTTTGAGGTCCCTTCCAACCCCTAAGATTCTGTGATTCTAAGACATCACACAGCATGTCTATGTACAGCATTTGGCTTCTCAAATTACTCATGTAGCCCAGTAATTACATGTTATTTAGAGAGTGCTTATGAATACATAAAATTACCTTCTCCTTCAGAGGATCTCAAGCCACCCTTGTAGCCATTATGTAAGGCTCACAGCACTTGTGAGACTGCTTGTTTTCCTCTTTAAATAACTACAAAAAGTTAGTGTGGATGAAGTCTAGACCAGTTTAATTAACCAAATCAATTTAACCACATAAATTCTTCCAGCTGTGTCAGTGTTGACTTCTAAGCAGAAGCATAGGTATCTCTAGCAACAGAGAATTGCAGTGACACAATTTCAGTTCTCACTAATGGGTACAGCAACACAACAGTTACTATGAACTATGGTGACTCAGTATCTTTCAGTTGACGACCCAGAACATGATTTTTAAAAAATGGCTTCTTGCTAGCCAGTTAGTAAAACACACTCTACGGCACTATGAGGGGCTCCACAGAAACACCTAGGGGCGTGGAACATAAAAGGCCTTAGGATTAGCCAGAATTCATGTACTGTTTCAGGGTGCAGTTCAGGTACTTAATGGTAAGAAACATTTTAGACATCTGCACTATCCTTCACTGGGCCTCCAACTGCTGCATCAGAAAGGGAGAAGTCTCCTACAGGTACTGTGTCACATCTTCTAAACTTGAGGCAGAAACTGAATGTACCCTGGCATATGTTAAATGGTGGCAGACACCTATGTTGAGGTACATTTAATTATCTTCCAAAGTGACTTCCCAAATTAACTCAAAATGCTTTTCCATAAAATGGTACATATCAGCATAACATTAGTTTGATAGTCTTACCACGTCTAGAAGTGACTGTAAAACACAGAGATTATACTTTCATGTGAATATATAAAAATAAAAATTACCTTGGGTCATTCAAAGTTCCTGCATTTCTTAAATTAATGAACTGAACAGTCTTGCTCTTCACCTCTGAAGCATATTGAAATTCCTGTTGAAAGTAAGCATAAGTAAAGCGGAATTGCAAGTTTAAACAGGAAGCATTATAAATTACATACTTGGCATGAAGAGATCCTTGAAGACATTTCCATCCCTCCCGAGTAAAACAGACACATTCTGTATCACAGAGCTAATATGGACAGAACTATGCAGCTTTAGCCCTTGGATAATCGAGGCAATCTATATTATCCTTGTCTTCAGACAGAAACTAATGAAATCATAAAAAATATTATTCAAAGAATAGGGAAGTAGGAAATAGAAGAACTGTCTTCTATTGCTCTGCCACAGAATTACTAAGCAACTTCAGACAACTGGCTTAGAGCAAGATTTTCACAAGTATCCACTACTCAGATGCTTTATTGTCACCAACTTGTGTCCCTCTGTTATAAGAAATTAATATATTAAACTGAAACAAACAAAAGCCCTGAATCTTCCTTACTTAACAAAGCTAAGAGCTAACATTGCATTTCACATTCCAGATCTCTCCTGCAAAACACACTGCTTCATTTCTAATTTCTGTTTTAAAAAAAGCTTAACCAAAAAAAAAAAATCTAACTTGGGGAAAAGCTGTATCAACACGCTCACAACTCTAAGCCCAGGGAGCAAAAGGGGCAACCCTTCTGAGGGGAAGCAATCCGTCGGTATGGATAACGCTGATGCCCATGCCTAACGCACTAGAAGCACTAAGGCTGCCCACCGAGAAAGAAAGACAGCACGCTTGCCACTTCCTTCTCAGCCTCGGCTACGAAGGCATGTATTTTTGGGTGAATGGCAAGTCAGCATTCCTGACTGCTTCCGGCGTGTTTGCATAAGGCTTAGAAAAGTAACAGAATGAGCCGAAAAGCCACGGCACTGAAAAAGGAGCGAAGACAGCCCCTCCTCAAGCACACGGACGGGCAGAACACAGCGCAGCAGCTCGGGTGTCTGTCCCGAGGCACCTCGGAAGCGCCGGGCAGTCAATCCGAGGCCACGACGCGGAGCTCAAGGATAGAGAGCAGCCAGCTCCTGGTGCGACCACCGCGATACAAAAACCTTGACAACACACAAACCGACGCCTGCGCGGGTTCGACTCTTCACTTGAGCACCCCTTTAACACACGCGCAGGACAAAACGGCACGAGAATTAAGCTCAGGTTCCGGCCTGACGGCGACGCGGCCCCGTTCGCCTGCCCACGGCCC